TTCAGTCCTGGCGAGCGTGTGGGCGTTCGGTTTTATCTGAATCCTACTATTCATGACGGAAAAACATGCTCGGGCGAGCAAAAAATGTTTACCAGATTTTATTTAAAAAATGCATGAGGAGTTACCCGTTAACTCGATGACGAACAACGCTTTTGATGCACGCTGCCCAAGGACTCCGCACCTATAGCCAGCAATGAAAAACACTAAACCGAGCGAAAATGCTCGAATAAATCTCAGTTCCCGCATCAGAACTTCCGATCAAGACAGATAAATAGCAACCACGTAAGCACAGATTTCAGAAGGCAGTAATGGTTACATTTTAAACCTGCCGTATTCTCTTTTTTTAGGCAACATCACACAAAACAGTTTTTTATACGAATAGAAAATTCCGAACGCAGCCTGCGTACCAGAATTTTACGTCTCGCCACGCTTAGTCGCCTGTGGTACAGTAACTTTTTACCCCCCCCCTCCCCCCGAATCCAGAAGGCACGGACAAACATAGGATCAAGGCGACTGAACTGACTCACATTCGCCAGGGTCAACTGGTATGCAGTAGGTACCGCACCTGCGATTTCCATAATTCAAATGAAACTGGGGAGCGGGTGTCATTTGCAAGGCAGACTCTTACTCCCTCTAATTGAGATCGGGCATCCCGACTGGCTAAATTTTCCCTAAAGGAATATACAACAGACCGAAAAAAGTACGGCCTGTCCAGAAGACGTGGGTCTTAAAAAACTGTTCCTCGGTTTCACTTTAAACCATTGCTCTCCCTGCCTGTGCATTCACAGTAGAACAACTGCCAGTTAACAGTAGTCATCAGTTTCCCTGATCGTCAGTTCCTTCCCACATCCTGCTCCTCTTTATTCACGTCAGGATGTTTTGTCGCCGCAAACGTTTTTGCAAAACCGGATACATGCTTCCGCACCGCATGTTCCGTGGGCGGCCAAGCACTGAACGACGCAGTCCACCTACCTCAGAAACAAATAGCCTTTCCACTCAAACTGTTTATTCGAAATGCCAGATCCTTGATAAATAAGAGGCCTTTAAATCAGAATCTGGTGTTCGTGCATTGCCCCGATATTGTTTCAAAAAGTGAGACATGGTCATCAGTTTCCGTAGCTAATTCCACATTCTCTCTTTCAGGCTATACTTGCATTCGAAGTGATCGTTAAGAGAGCCGTGGTGTGGGCAGCTGCATCTACCTTAAGCGAACACTAACATTTCTGACGCTGGACCTCTCTCACTTTTCCGCGGTAGAAGGCAGCTGCTGGCTCCAGGTTGCACTACAAAATAAGTTCTTTTTACTCGTTGACTTTATCTATCGCCCTCCCAACGCCAATGAGAATTTTGATCGTTTACTTTCACTGGTATTTCATTCTGCGGCCGAATCAAGCTTTAACTTTCGGCTGGTGACTTCAATCTTCCTGAAGTCCGCTGGTATCCGCGGTCCGACATAGTTGTCTTAACATTGGAACTTGAGACTGACAAATATCTGTCCTCAAAGTATAGCTTCATCTTTGATTTCCGATCGGCTCGCTCGACGGAATTGTAAACACACTTTAATTCTTACGATCGGACTGATTTCTTCCTAAGTTCGGATGTAAACGTTTGCACAGCTAAACTGGACGAAATTTCGGATCCTTTTATTTCACGCTTTGTCCCCCGTAGGAATTATTTAATGTCGGGGAAAATATTTGCCTCCATTTACCCTGACGTCGTAGGCTCAGCAGACTTTCTGGTCGATTCCATCTTCAGAATGATGTTTCTGTTTCGCCGTCGATTTGTGATATTTTTGAGCGAGCAGAGAAATTATCCGAAGCATAGCGTGTAGTTAAAGACCTACACTTCTCAGAAAACCGCTCGTTAAACGTCGCGGAACTTTTCTCATGAAAAGTAAAAGCTCATGTGAAGACATAACTTCCCATTTTCCTGGACGATCTTGGAAATCCTACAGCAGACGTCCAGTTGACCGCCGACCAAACTCGACCGCCCCGCTCCCAACCGTCCAGGCTTCGACCGGTGCCATTCGTGAAACCATAACTTTCATCCTGTATGACGCAACTGTAGAGATTCGGCGTTTTCGTCAATCTCATAGCCTGGGTCCCGATGATGTCCCAGTAAGCTTTCGAAAAGCGGATGCAAATACAATTTTCCTATCCCTCTTATGCGAGATATTCAGTCTCGCTCTTGAAAGTGAAACTTATCCTACCTTGTGGAAGGAATCACACATTTTGCCCATTCCTAAGCATGGCCAATCTACGTCATTTGATGACTTCCGGCCAATAAACACCCTCCCCGCAGTTTCGAAGATCTTAGAGACACTGATCAAAGATAAGATGATGTGTCACTTAACAGAGAATAACCTACTGAGTGTTGCTCAGCATGGATTCCTCAAAACTCGGTCTTGTGATACCTGTCAGCTCTCTTACTTTTATCATGGTCTCCAATCTAGGGACAATGGTTTTGCACTTTACACAGTCTATTTCGATTTCACTAAGGCTTTTGATCGTATTGACTATGTTCTTCTTCTGTCGAAACTTTTATCTTTCGGAATATGTGACAAACTTCTGAATTTAATATCCTCTTACCTAGGTGGTCGCACATAACGAGTTAAGATTTCCATTGGTATCTGCAACCCCAGATGTGGGAGGAGTGGATTCATTCAGGTTAGTGTACTCGGCCCGTTTTTATTTTGCATTTTCGTTAATGATGAACCTGATTTATTTCAGAATGGTAAGCCCTTCATGTATGTTGATGATCTGAAAGTTGCATATCCACATAAGCCTGCGGATTGTGACATCGTGCTTGAGCTCCTAAAGAGCGACCTACAGGCCTTTGCCCAGTGGTGCCGCACATGGCGCCTTTCTCTTTCTTGGCATAAATGCTTAGTCATGGTGGTTGGCGACGACCGCCAACCACAACCAAGTATTGACGGCCACGACATAAATGTGCCTGGGGTTATTAAAGATCTGGGTGTATAATACTCCAAGAGCCCCAATCTTGCGGAGCACTGCGCCCTGATAGTCGATCTCAGTGAACTTTCAACCCACGACTCCAAGAATAAGAATTAAGTGAAGTAAAAATCTGCCAAAACATCTGCTCGTCATTTGGCAAATTCTTGATGAATTACTAAGGAATTCCTACTTGGGACGTCATCTCACTATGTCAGATTTGATGGATTCTACACGTTTAAGTAGGGTGGGCGTGTAACTTGATGCAAATTTTATTAAACTCATTACTCCCGGTAGGAACTCGTAGCGCGGATGGTTAGATCGTTGGTTGTACTTAACCTGGCCCTTGCTGTTGCGGTTTTGAATCCCATTGAGTTCACCGAGTTTCTCACAGTTTCGTCAAAGTAACACCGTGGAGTTTAGGTTTCTACAAGTTTTTAAGGCGACTCTGCATTTGATGAGCACTGAGGAACCCAACCAGTTGTGACCCATAGAAGCCTATTTATTAAAGAAAGTTGGTGCTGGATATTTAATCGCAATTTTATCGCTCTTTTTCTCATAAAGTAAGAAATCTGAGTGACCTAACTTTCAGCTGAAACAGACGAGCAACCAAATGTAGATCTTGAATGTTTCGTTTGTTTTGTACTTAAGTCAGTTTGATCCTCACAGTGAGATATGAGTAAGAATTTGTCATTTTAGGCCGCCTGTGCCAGTTTGCTATTTAGTCAGTTTTGTACGTAACACAGGCTAAATGCTACAATTTATTTGACGGACAGTTGAGTATCGTGCTAATTCTCAAATGCATCCACCCTCCAAGCCCTGACCGTCCGCTTTGCCTGATGATTGACGCGACGCGGACGACATGCATAGAAGAATTGAATCGAAGGATTTTGTCTTAAGTAGGCCCTGCCTCTCGCAACCGCGGCTGTTTGTTTAGGCTTTTATACACCTTTTGGCAGGTGTTCTGTTAATTTAATGCGGTCTTCATCGGAAACGGCAGGTGACCTACCTCATAAGATGTGCGCTAATTTACGAAAAATTTCTAATGAATTAGAAGGCGTCCCAAATGCATCTACTACATTGCTTGACTACTTATGGACGACCTTCGGTAAAATTACACCATAATCGGCAAAAATTCAGGAAAAAAGTGCCGAATGCCCAAACAGCTTTGCAAATGGGGGAACTTCGTTTGCAGAACTACATAAACGAAGCAGCACAGACAGAACAACATTTGTGAACCCGCCTTTTTAAACAGTCCTCGGGGACAAAGATTCTTCAGAAATTAATGTTTTATACAGGTCTACAGCTAGTAAAATGCACGATCTTTGTCTAATGTTTCAGAGTGCAGTCATGAGAATGCTAGGTATATTTTTTCGCTTATTCATTGTATCTCAAGTTTTGACATTTCTTCACCCCACATTTTTAGGAGTGTCATTTAAAAAATCCTGAAGTATGAATAAAATAATCTGCACTCAATACGCACCCTATCGCTTTGAGGTGCCATTATTCGCAGTAAGCAATACCAAGAAGGAGTCAAGCAAAACTCCAAAGCAACTGTCAGACATGGAGCTGGTATAGAAATGCATGCGAAGGTAGACAGTACACTGCAAATAACTATTTTTATTATGTCCCCGAGGCGGGTTCAAATCGCGTTCCGCCTGTTAGGCCTGTCGTCCGGTGTGCCATCGGATTTCCAGCATGACATGTGTGATTTCTGTCATTGTACCAGTTTGAAAATTTCGTTTTTCAATGTTGCTATTGATTTTTTCGAACTTACAGTTAAGTCTCTTAAACGAGAATTGTCAGAGCTGGTGATAAAATGTGTGCAACTACCAACCAAATTAGGGAACGTATGTAAGTTTGCAGATCACATTATTCTTCGCGCAGAATGACCCATAAAACGTGCTGGAAAAAAAACCGCATAACGACTCAAGGTCTATAATCGTGCTATTGGATGCTATCTAGGGCTTACTGACCGTCCACTGAGATAACCTCACCATCCGCAAACTTTTTCTGATTTTTCTAACTCCTCTGTTTTATTCGCAGACCATGTCAGTGAAGGGCCAGACACAACGACCCAGTTTCGTAGACGGCAGCATTTCCGAACAGCAGACCTTTATCGACTCGGACGGGGAATCGATGTCAAGGCGACGAAGTCCAAATGCAATCGACAGCGGATCAGAGGCCTACCTCTATTCGGATTCTGAATTGCTGGGAACCTGGGGCTCTAAGAACCGGAAAGCTAACACTTCCACCGGAACGGCAGTCACAAATACCAGCGTGACGTTGTCAGCAGCTGCGTCAACCAGCGATGGCTCTAACGGGCAAGTTGGAAAGACCTCTGGGCCCTCCTCCACCTCCTACGCCTCACTGCCGTCCTACGTGAGCTCTCTTCTAACCGGTTCCACTTCGTCAACCGCTGGCAGTGGCATGCAAATGGCCGCGCGCTCTAAAGGGACGCCTACTATTGCGAACTTCTCCGCAGTGACTACCCCCACCACCACTGCAAGTGCCACTTTTGGTGGGGCCGCGAATGTGTCGGACGGCACCCAATCATTTTTAAAGCAGACTGGTCAGCGTTCGGTCAAGGAAACCTCACAAGTCAGACGAAAGCAGTAGCTTTGCAAGGAAATAGGTATGTTTCCTTCATAAGTAACTCCAAAAACACGCCTGCCTACATTTAATCAGAAGACGATGCTGTATCACGGCCGTTTCTATACAGGATGGTACAGTAGACGTGCTAACTCGTGAAATATTAACCGAAATTTTTAAACGTGTTTTCGAATCGAACAAATTACTCAGGTAGGGTTGTAATATTAATCACCCTGCGACATAATCACATGGTAATTCAGTAACTACAGGATGTCGGCCAATGAACGAACTTCTTTCCGGCCACCTGCAAAAACAACTCTGCAAAGAATGTCTACTTAATAAGCATGCATTTTCCTCATTGACTTTCGATGCCCTTATAAATTGAAATAGATTTCATGGAAAACATGCGTAAAAATATTCATTTTTACCCGTTTGGTAGATACTTACGTCTTCCAAAAATTTCGTATTGGAAGGAGGAGTATAAAACTCTTTTCAATTCCCGAATAATTTTGAACCCGACCTGCTGTTACACCTGCATTTAGAATTTCAAGCTACAAGAAGTAAATTAAACAATTCTATTTGATAATAAGAGGGACCATATGGGATTCATAAAATTTAACAGTGGATATGAACCATACTGTATACCTTAGAAGCAGCATTAGTAAGTGCAGAGGCACGATGTTTTATGAACGGACATTTTATCGTCTTGAAAATCTCATAATTAGAAAATGTTTAAAACCTAATAATAGCCTTCCTTCAAATATAAAGTCTGGAGAAGATGTAATTTTCTGTCAAATGAGCAGAAAAATGAATAAACGTAAGTTTTATAATACAGGCGGGGCGAGAGCGGAAGGATATGAAAAGTGGCATCTGGTTAGTCAACCTTTGACCAATAAGCGCGCAGCCTGAAAGATGTTTTCTGGAGGCACAGGGCCGGTTTTCGTAACCTGATTGCGGCCGCTTCCGCTGTTGACGACAGAAGCTGGCCTTAGAGCTAAGCATAGCTCGTGGGGACTTTAAAAATCACACGAAATGCTTCAGCGGGGGCCACACGATTCCACGAATTAACTGCTTGCGCAAGAATAGCGCTGCCTACGCTCCTAGCTTCGCCTTTTCCCAGCCGTGTTGGGGAGTATTCTCGTATTTTTTTGGTTGACGCCGACTCGTAGGACCAATATAACCTGCTCTTGGGGAGAAAATGAAGGAATAGATGCACATCGAGTTTGTCTGAGATGTAAACCAATCCTCATCTTCTCCACATTAACTAGGGTTTGTAGTGAATAATATTTGAGCCCTTGCTGCTGGAAAGGTTCTTGAGGCAGCTTGATCATGGCGCCTTCTTAGGAGCCCGCTCACAGCATTTTTCTAAAAAGCGTTAGGTGGTTTCACTATGCGAAGACAATCACTTAGAGCGTACCTTCCTTTTGGCGATCAAATTTAAATTGTTGTCGTATAATGCGTACTAAGCAAATTGCTCAATGCTGACGCATAAGAGCGCTTTTTCTGGAAGGTGATTGAAGTAAATAGCCTAACGTCGGTTATATGACATTTATTTCTCGAAAAACGAAATCTGAGTGACCTTTTTTACACTGCTTTTGTTGTGCCTCGCAGAGCGGAAATTAGGCTATGTATGATGGTGCAAGCATAGTTCTCGGAACATATTCGAATGCATACCCTCATGCATAGTAGGTGATGTATCTAACGAAAAGCTAATCAAAATTCTGATATGATTCCGACTATAAAGAATTACTTAGGCGGAGATGCAATGTTGAGCCCATAAAACATAATTCTAAGACGCCTGAATATCGCTTTTCCAATTCGTACTTGTCCGGCCCCCAGCCAACACCACACTACCTAACAATGACTACAAAAATTGAACAAATGCGTTTTAGCGATTTCTTCGTACTCTTATACATCGGACTCTGTATGCGTTCCTTTAAAGAAAGCTCAAAAATTCCCCTATTCTACTAGACTCTCGTATGAAACTCATAAAATTGTACAATGGACAAGTTTATACGTCATGAGCCATAGACGTAGCATAAATGAACAAACATGCGTGGCGATAGTTGAATAATAATTTTAGGTTCCCAAAAGTGTTTAATCAGCGCCATTTTTAGATTTGCATCTGCGCTCGTTTCTAGGAGATGATTTGAAAATAACATAATGTCTTACGGAATGAGTGCGATAAAATACATTTCCGTGCTCGCCTTCCATAAAGTTAATCTGGATTTAAAAGAACATCGAAAATGAGGGGAAAAATGCACACTACTTAAGTTCTCATTTGTTAATGAGTGGAATTTTTTAGGCAAGGTGCGCATTTGAAAGCGCGAATAAAATATATTGCGTAATAACCAAAATTACAAGGCGACCTAAATAATATTCTGTGACCGAGATCATATTTCAATTGATGTTTCATGCCCATCTTCTTCTAAGCAATGAAGCCTGATTATCGTTCTTCATACTTTGTCACGCCTGGCCGTCGATGGTTTCGAATTACCGAACTACGGATTTGGCATTCGGTGCCATTGGGAGTGAGGCTCCTTACAGTCAGAGAATTGAAGATAGGTGTAGAAGCCAGGGTATATGTTGTACATCGGGCCATCAATGAAGAAAGGAAGAACAGGCGGTCCCCGAATTTTGACGGCACACAAGGGGTTGGCCGGGTGGCGTGAGAGTGTATCGGAACGAACATCGGAACACATACAATTAATGACTGATATCATGGAATGTTGACCGAAATTCGGTCAGATCGCAGTTGGTAGCCTGGGATGTGCAAGCTGACTGGTAGGTCCCTGTCTGACGGGACCGGTGGTAAAGGAGGTTTCATGGGTGGGGTAAATGGATGGCGGCGTAGGAGGTTAAAATTAAATAAATCAAAAGGTAATGTTTTCAAGAGTAAACAGTGAAATCTTTCTGAGGTGAAATAACGGGGAAAATTTAAGCAGAAGCCCGTCATATTTAGCGCGGCCTGCGAAAGGTCACCTCGGTTTAAAAGATATAGGACTAGCTGACAATGCTGCCCTATTAACCAATAGCAGGTACGTATCGAAGGCCAAGGTCATTCCGCAAAAGGTGCCCCAGAAAATTTGACGCGTGAGGACCAGTGCTCGTGAACTGTCAGCGGACTGGACAGTGAAGTCCAAGAACAGTAAGTGTAAACGTGGATTACGTAAGAGGCGCGTGAGTAAGCCGCATTGGGTACGCTGTGACGATCGGTTTGCACACAGTAGTCATTATTTTGCTGACTATTTATTATATGGTTGCCGCTTGTAAAACGCAAGCAGCCGAGAAGGCACGAAACGCTGCCCCATTAATTAATAAACCATCAGAGATCGCACAGATCCTTGCTATTATCCAGTCGCCAAAACCTAGTGGAATATCTGCAAGCGAAAGGAGTGCTCGCTTCGGAAGTCAGGGACCGATACCGAGAACCCATGCGAATGCGAAAATTGCGTCAACGCACGGACAGAGTTGTCTTCAGGTATGCGAAAATAGTATTATAATGAAGTTTTAACGTGTAACAGATGTGAAGGCGTGGGAAAGATTCCTGTCCCATGTTGCGCAAGCACATCCGGTCCCCGAAAGCGGCCACGTAACTGAAAAATACAGCAGTTGACGGTAAGGTAAGCAAGAAAATGTAAACGATATCCTACGCATAGAGCGATATGAACACAATAACGAATCAAACACGTTGATGGCAAACTAACAGCAAGGCCAAGGAAATGGTGCCAGTGAAAACCAATGCAGCCAGAGAAGTTTATGCTGTATTCAAACTTTTCACTGCAATACTGAACTCCTTTCACAACCTCTCAATGTTTCTCCCCTTTTTTCCATAATCCCAGCCGTAATGCGCCAACCAGGAATGAATATGCTGTGTTCGAGGGGAATGAAGAGAAACCGAACTGGTCCCTCACTGCAATCGTTGTCCAATCATGATGCTAGCCCTAAGTACGCACGCCTTCAGGCCGTGTAACGGTAAAGATGAAGCTAAAAGCTAACCATACTGATCGCCGCACACCCGCCAACCCGCGGAACTCTGAAGCAAGCGAAATCCGTCGAATAGCTGCCGTAGAAGGTTTTTAACGCAAAACCCGACCGCAAACGCAAACGGAAAGCGACTTAGGAAGACCACACAGGAAGCCAACAGCCTGGTTTGACGCCTATACCGAAAATAGGGGAGCCATCGGAAGCCGCCGGGAGGTGGGGGCGGGGTGAGGTAGTGTGCGAGGCAGCAGATGGAGAATGATCCGAAGGTGACCAGCGCAAATAGTAAACCGCAGTCGCAAGTAGAAACAGAATGTCCACTGACCGTGCAGGACTGCACCCATGCAGGGCGCTCAACGCCTACGCGCCTGGCCAACCCACACGAAAACCACGCAAAATACGGCGTGGGAGGTCGCAGTGGAGGCCGAAAACCGCGTCTACAATGCAGGCTATTTCTTCCTTGTTGGTGGAGCGACAATAGCCGTGATAGATTCCGACGTCAGCTAGCTAAAAGGCGAATAAGTAGTCAAAGCTGGAGGACCCACCCGTAGTACCGTGGCACGCCGGCTGAACGGCCGTATGAGCGGAAATGCAAACATGAGCAAGGACATGAAGGACTTTGCAGCATAACCGCCTGTCCGTCGTCCAAGTCTAAGCTGTACGTATATGCGGGGGGGTATGGCAACGGTTAAACAACAACAGACAAGGTTCCCGAAAGCGAGGTCGAATGCGTTACACCCCCGCCTGACCGACACGGGTGAACTACGTAACTTAATTTAAACATGCCTACTGATAGGAAGCAAGTAAGTCAAAAATGTTGACTCGTAATCCCAGGCTACGGACGGCGATCTCACTCGAAATTCTATAATGCGTTTTTGACTAGGAAGAATTACTTAAATGGGGTTTTAATATTGATTTTCATGCGGCATAATATTATTGTATTTCGGACTAGCCAGGATGTCGGCTTCTGAATGCGTTTCTTTTCGAACTCCTCTAGAAACCGCACTAGATAAAAAGTGGCTATTTATGTAACCTGAATTTTTAACAAAGAATATTTATAGTCTTATAAATACAAAAATAATTTATGGAAAGCGCACACACTAGACACTGGGCATAAATTCGCATGGGAGAACACTCGCATTGTTGGCGCCTGCCAAACAAGAAAAAGCCGCGAATTCCTGGAGGCAATGCACTCAGATGAGGCATGCATCAACCGGCATATCGATTTAGATGCCACATACAAAATCTTTAAGGACAGATTCAAACTGAGTCAGCCAATCCCGAGATGACAACCTTAACCAATCATGGACTCCTTTTGCTAGACTCAGTCTAAAAGTTAATTGTTTTTGCATACCCGTTGTCTGAAGACGAGCCGGGGAACCAGTCTCGAAAATTCACAATAAAATTTTGCTGTTTCCCAAAGAACTTCACCTTCCTAATTTTATTTCTTGGGATGCCTGTTTTTCAAAACTATGCTTATATTTACTCGTTTGGCAGAAAGTAAAGTCTTTAAACTATATGCACGAAGAAAGGCCATATTCCGGTTTGGAGAAGTTTCCCAACTCCCAAATAATTTTGATTCTGGTCAGCCGTTGCATTAGCTTTATACGATTTGCGTCTACAAGGCGCACGCTTTTCGCGTAAGTAAATTTATATGTTCCACTATTCCTTTAAGAAGATACCACAGAGAGTTCTTTTAATTTTGCGATACTTGTAGACAGGAACATACTTCATGAGGAGCAGTGGTAAACAGACAGGTGCGGTACTGCATGATGAATTGACAGTGGAGACTAAAAAAAGCTAGAAATAAGAAACTTTTCTAACCCGAAAGATAACATTTCATTGTGTAATAAATGTGACGACAACGTGATTCTATACCAAACGAGTAAAAGAAAGCATAATTTTGTGCGTGTTTTCTATAAAAGTATTTGGATTAAGAAAACGAAGATGCGATCACTGGAACAAGAAATTTTTTGGCCTGACGTTTCGGATTCTCACTCGAATCCATCATCAGAGACATTCGCATATAAAGCTGATGGTGGCACAGCGAAGGCAGTATTTATAGCACGTGGCTGCCATGGGACCATGTGCGCATTGTAATTAGCAGCTCTCGCAATCAGCGCGGGGGTTGTAATCGATGCGTTGGTGGCTTCTCAGTCCGAGTCCGAGTCGCTAATTGCCGTGGTTTCGTCATCCGTGCTGGATGCTGGTACGACGATTGCTCAGCAAATTGGCTCACTGTCACTGGGATAACTGCTGGCCCGCGGCCTCCTCACGTGACTGATCCCCCTGCTCAGGGAAAACCTCAGCACGGAATATGGTACCGGGAGGTCATTGTGCTTGTTCATGGATTGCGGGCCTGAGAACCATGACTCGAGCAGCTCGCGGCTCACGCGGTTGTCACCCCTTGCGAGGGTTTCGGCCTCTTGAAATTTTAAAATATGACCGAGTCCCGTCGTGTGTGCCGCCACCTGAGAGCTAGCGTCTCCCCGCCTCACTGCTGCTGCATGCTTGGCAATTCGCGTACCGACTAATATCCTACTTTCTCCGACATAGTTGCTTTGTCCGCAACTACACCAAATCCAATAAACGACTCCAGACGTTTCTTGCCGTGGCAGCGGGTCTTTTGGCCTCATGACCTGGCGCCTGATGGTTGCTTCCAGCCTGTGTGCGGTCACAAAGTGGAGTGAGAAGACGACTGACGGCTTCTGAGACGTTATTTGCGTACGAAAGTGTCCGCAAAAATTTGGGGCCGGTTGGATTTTGACTGCTGTCCTTTTCGTATGCACTGGTTGACAAAGTTGTCCGGGTAACCATTGGCTCTCATTACCCGTCGAGGATATTGAAATTCACCAACCTTGTCTTCCATTTGACTGCAGTGCGTCTCAATGCGCCGGTATTGCGTCCTTACGCAATTGCATTTGTGCCTGATCGCGTGGTTGCTATTGAAATTCAGTACTTGCATCTTCTTTGTCGTCTTCCTAAACACTTTGGTTTTTAGGCCACCACCCTCTTTGCGGCAGACGAGGACATCCAGGAAGGCAACCTAGTTGTTTTCCTCCTCCTCCTTCTCCTCCATCATAAATTGAATGTCCGGGAAGACGGCGTTGAGATGATCTTTGAATGTCAGCACCTGATCCCGTTCGATGACGACGGTGTCATCTACATACCGAGCCCAAAATTTCGGTCTGTGGTGTCGGAAAACCAGCAACTCTAGCCGTTCTAGGGTTGCCTCGGCTATGAGTCCCGAAATCGGCGAACGCATTGGCGTCCACGTCACCTGCTCGTAGATTGTTCCGTCGAACGTAAGGTATGTCTTGAAATAGAACTTCAGGAGCTGGATGATTTGGGCGTGTCCGAGGCTATTCTCCGTTTCGTCGTATTTCTCTCGTAGGAGTAGTTCGATGGTCTCGACTGCCACGTCCTGCGCGATAGAAGTAAAAATGGACGGGACAGCAAAGGAAACTATGCCATCGCTTGGCAGGAGACTTACTCCTTTAAGTGTCTCCAAGAATTGAGTTGATTAGCTGACTGTTGAGTTCGAATCGGAGGTCAGAAATTTGAGACGTCGGAACAGTCACTTTGCCAGTCCGTAGGTTGGAGTGCCCTTTAGTGTTACGATAGGCCGGAGAGAAGCGCCCTCTTTGTGTACTTTTGGAAGACCGTAGAATCGGGCTAGGGCCGTTTCTTGTGCTCTCGCCTTGCGCCGGTCGATTGGCGATACTGCACCTGAGTTCTCCATTGCCAACAGCGTCGCGTTAATCTCGCGTGTCAGCGTTTTTATAGGGTTGGATTCGCATGGGACATAGGACTGACGATCCTCCAACAAGCTTTTGGCTTTTTGATTGTAGTCTGTACTGTCCAATACGACCGTTGAACGCCCCTTGTCCGCAGGCACGATAACGAGGTCATTGTCGGCCCTGAGTTCCTTAAATGCATCGCGCTCGACCTTGGAAAGCACGTCGAGCGGCCTATGAGCGATGAGGAGGGAGGACACTTGGTGTCGAATGAGGTTCTTCGTTTCGTCTGTCGCTCCCGTCTGGCTGAGGATTGATTCCATTGCTGCGATCATGTTGGCAGGTTGGGCATCGGCTTGGTAAATGGGACGTCATGCCGTAAAACCTGCATTTGTTCCTCCGTCAGTTCCTTTGACGACAGGTTTCCCACCTTCGAGCCGATCGGGGCGCTTTGCGTCCAAATTTTGACGGACTCATTTGTACGTAAATAACGTCTCGAAAGCCGCCAGTCGTCTTCTCACTCCACTTTGTGACCGCACACAGGCTGGAAGCAACCATTAGGCGCCAAGTCACGAGGCCAAAAGACCCGCTGCCACGGCAGGAAACGTCTGGAGTCGTTTATTGGATTTGGTGTAGTTGCGGACAAAGCAACTATGTCGGAGAAAGTAGGATATTAGTCGGTACGCGAATTGCCAAGCATGCAGCAGCAGTGAGGCGGGGAGACGCTAGCTCTCAGGTGGCGGCACACACGACGGGACCCGGTCATATTTTCAAATTTCAAGAGGCCGAAACCCTCGCAAGGGGGTGACAACCGCGTGAGCCGCGAGCTGCTCGAGTCATGGTTCTCAGGCCCGCCATCCATGAACAAGCACAATGACCTCCCGGTACCATATTCCGTGCTGGGGTTTTCCCTGAGCAGGGGGATCAGTCACGTGAGGAGGCCGCGGGCCAGCAGTTATCCCAGTGACAGTGAGCCAATTTGCTGAGCAATCGTCGTACCAGCATCCAGCACGGACGACGAAACCACGGCAATTAGCGACTCGGACTCGGACTGAGAAGCCACCAACGCATCGATTACAACCCCCGCGCTGATTGCGAGAGCTGCTAATTACAATGCGCACATGGTCCCATGGCAGCCACGTGCTATAAATACTGCCCTCGCTGTGCCACCATCAGCTTTATATGCGAATGTCTCTGATGATGGATTCGAGTGAGAATCCGAAACGTCAGGCCAAAAAATTTCTTGTTCCAGTGATCGCATCTTCGTATTCTGGTTTGCTACCCAGAATTCGCCTGTTTGCTTCTATCAGCAATTCATTTCTGCCCTGACTATTTCAGTTCAGTTCAGTTCAGTTTATTGAGGGAAATAGGCGTAGGCTTTTGAGTACCCTATTTGCAACGTAAAAAATTTGTGGTGTACTGATAGATGTTCTGGGCTGAAATATTTCGAACTCGCCCATAGTGGTGGGACAAAATCAGAAGGAGTTACAGGGGGTGAGCTCTACTTCTCATCGCTCTTGGTCATTTAGGAACATAAATATGTCCAGATTCTTAATAAAACTTTGTATAAATGTTGACATCACAACATCTGCGGGAAGCTCATTCCATGGTTTGACCACCGGAACCGAGAAGGAGAACTTCCGCACATACAGCCGTGCCTGCTGAGTGCGCAGTTTTAACGGGTGACCTCGGAGGTTGGTCGTGGTAGCAAATTCAAAAAAGTCGTCGAAGGCCAGACTGCTATTCAACCCCTTTACAATGCGGAAGGCTTGCAAGAGATCTCCGCGAAGTTGCCTGTAACTCAAAGGAAATATATAAATAAATAACTAAATTTTAATTTAATGCCAGTTTACAGGCATTGTCAAGGGAAGCGATTAAACACAAATCCTACCAGCAGTGAAAAAAAAACTCCTGAGCTTAAGGCTTAAAAATATAGTTGACGGTGGTTTTTGTGGCTTGGAGGGCTCAGGAGAAAAAAACTGTCCGCGGTGGTAGAATATCGACCGTCAAGAAGGGCGGAGGTTGCACGGTATCGGAGATTATCGGACGTCAAATTCCTTTCATGAAGTTGGGGATAGTCAAAGTAGAGGCGTCGAAGAACAGCTGGTGAGACCGGCCATAGTGTTCAGAGACCACAGACGCCATCGCTACGGTACAGTCCATCAGTAGATTCAGCACCCAAAATTTGTGGGAGCTTTTCTGAATGCAAAAATCGAGTAAAAGTTCTCTAAAATAAAGAATAATTTTGCAGAGTTCTCACACTCATGGGTAGTTTATTCCAAATAGCAATTGCATTTACAGAAAAGAACCGACGATATTTAAGAGTACGTGCCAGAGGAAGAAATAAAAAGACCTCACGGTGACTGTTACGTCGTGGGTGGATATGATGTCTTAAAGAGGTGAGCGGGTTAAATGTGTGATTATATAAGAGTTTAAATAGCAAAAATAGTCCCTTTTGTAATCTACGGAACCATAAAGGATCGAGGCCTCTAAGCGGGCAACGTTCTTGGTAAGACAAATGTCGGTGTTCCGGGGTTAAAATTCTCTTAGTAAAAAAGTGTTGAACGGATTCTATTTTCTTCCGCTCAGTAGCACGCATGAGGCTAAATGAAAACGAACAGTATTCCAGACCAGGTCTAACGTACATGTTGAAAAGGCGCATTGAAATGTCCCTAGTTTTAAAATTTCGGAGGATAAACCCGGTCGTTCTACGTGCTTTGGAAACTATCAAGGCACAGTGCTCCGAGAGATTGAGACTCTTGGAGTATGATACGCCCAAATCCTTTATAACCCCTGGCACATTTATTGCGTGACCTTCAATACTTAGTTGAGGTTGGCGGTCGTCGCCAACCACCATGACTGAGGACTTATGCCAAGAAAGAAAAAGGCGCCATGTGCGGCACCACTGGGCGAAAGCCTGTAGATCGCTCTTTAGGAGCTCAAGCACGATGTCATCATCTGCCGGCTTATATCGATGTGCAACTTTAAGATCATCGGCATACATGAAAGGCTTACCATTCTGAAATAAATCGGGTACATCATTAAAGAAAAGGCAAAATAAAAGCGAGCCGAGTACACTACCCTGGATGACTCCATTCCTCACACGTGTGGGCTTGGAGATGGTATTGTAAATCTTAACTCGTTGTGTGCGAGTGCCCAAATAAGAGGATATAAAATTCAAAAGTTTGCCACCTATTCCGAAAGAGGACAATTTCAAGAGGAGAAGAGCATGGTCAACACGGTCAAAAGCCTTAGTGAAATCGAAATATACTGTGTAAAGAGCAAAACTATGGTCCCTAGATTGGAGAACATAGTCAAAGAAAGAGAGTTGACAGGTGTCACAAGATCGAGCTTTGAGGAATCCATGCTGAGCAACACTCAGTAAGTTGTTCGCTGTTAAGTGACACATCATCTTATCCTTGATCAATGTCTCTAAGATCTTCGAAACTGCAGGGAGGGTGTTTATTGGCCGAAAGTCATCAAATGATGTAGATTTGCCGTGCTTAGGAATGGACAAAATGTGTGATTCCTTCCATAATGTAGGATAAGTTTCACTTTCAAGAGCGAGATTAAATATCTTGCATAAGAGGGATGGGAAGATCGTGTTTTCATCGGCTTTTAAAATGCTTACTGGGACACCATCAGGGCCTGGACTATAAGATTGACGAAGACGTCGAATCGCAACAGTCACATCCCACAGAGTGAAAGTTATAGTTTCTAGAACTGCCCCGGTCAATGACTGGATGGTCGGAAGCGGAGTGGTCGAGTCTTCAATAAACGTTTTGGACAGGAAATCATTGAAGCTATCAGCGGTTAACTGGGCATCAACTATGGGATTTCCGAGATCGTCTCGAAGGATGGGATACTGCGTTTTTTTCTGAGTTCGTATTTTTCTAGAGAAAAGTTTCGAGACAATTAACGAATGGTTTTCAGTAAAGTGGACCTCTTCGGCTAGCTGTTTTTCTTCAGACAATCTCTTAGCTCGACCAAAAATGTCACAAATCAAGGGCAGAACAGAAACATCGTTCTAGGCGGGTTGCATAAGGAAAGGAGCTTTGACTCCTAACCATCTTCCTGGCACTCCTCTGGACTCTTTCGAGGCAGTTTTGATCCACAACAGCCCACGGCCTCCAAGTTTGTATGCCGTACTCTAAATGCGGCTGGACGAATTTTCCGAATGTTTTAGAGAAAGCTTCTTCGTCAAAGTCCATAAACGCACGCTTAATGGCGTACAGTACGGACATTCCGCTTTTTGCCACCCTCGAACAGTGGGCGGATGGTTTTAGAGAACTCGTCGTCAGCACACCGAAGTCCTTTTGGGCTTCGACATCTTGTAGGGCTGCACCGCCCAGAAAGTAGCCTCTTGTGCTGGCGGATCTGGCTGTGTTGCCTAGGCGAAGTATGCTTCATTTGGCAACGTTGAACCGCAGGAGCCAACGGTTTGACCACGCCTCCAACCGATTCAGGTTCATCTGCAGTA